ATATATATATATATATATATTTGGTGGTAGGATCCTTTTTCATTTAAAGTCTTTGGGGGTTGAAGATTCAAAGATCTGAAGATCTTTAAATCTGGGCACCCTTTCCAAGCATATACCCTCTCTTATTTTAGACTTGGGATGCTTTGTTTTATTTGACTTTGACTCTGGAAAGTTGAGAAAGACCAAGGAGAGATCCCAAAGAAAAACAAGATGGGATGGGCTTAAAACAATAGATAAGTTTCTTTCAGTTTCCTCCTAGGTTCATTTGAGTTCATCAACACAGAAAGAGGGACAAGGCTTCAGGATAGAAGCTCTTTCCAGAAGGAATGCTTATACATCTGAATAGACCATCCCCTGTGCCAACACTCAAAACTGACTGTGGCAGATATGGTATAAATAACAAATGCAGTACAGAAAAGCAAGGGACTCACATCATGTCACAATGATACAGGAGCCACCCATCAGAAAATGACTGGAATTTAGAATTCACATAAGATTGAAGGAACATAAAGTTTTGTATTACTTTGATATCCTTTGGCCACAGTTGCTGTGAAGTTCCTTGCTTTTCTACAAATTCCCTTCTATTAATACAGTTCTCTCTTTCTCTCTGGCATGCAGACTCCAAGAATGAAAAGGCTTTGGGCCACAAGATAAAGACCTGGGAGTCATCGAGGAAAGGACATTCGCTCCTAAACAATGTGCACTTAAGGAATGGAGAATTAGTGATCCATCAAACAGGGTTCTATTACATTTATTCCCAAACATATTTTCGATTTCAGGAAGAAGAAACTGAGAAAGCGATTTTAAAAGCAGAGAACAGAAAGAGATCCAAACAAATGGTGCAATATATTTACAAATACACAAGTTATCCGGACCCTATACTACTGATGAAAAGTGCTAGAAATAGCTGCTGGTCTAAAGATTCAGAATACGGACTCTATTCCATCTACCAAGGAGGAATTTTTGAGCTTCAGCAAAACGACAGAATTTTTGTTTCTGTAACTAACGAACAGTTGATTGACATGGACCAAGAAGCCAGTTTTTTCGGAGCCTTTTTAATTGGCTAACCCTTTGTCCATCGGTTAGCAGATGAGCACTTGGTTATTGCAAAATACAGAATTTATGAAAGATGTAAACTTTCCATAGAAGGAAAACTGAAATATTTTCCAGGAAAATAAACAACTGAAAAGTAAGACTTGTTACAAAGTTGGAAATTTTAAGAAGCCCAGAAAAACAAGTCTCCATCAAGTTCCAGCTCTCATCAGTTTCATTGTAAATGATTATGTTTAACTCATAAATAAATGAAAAAACAATTTTTTTCTCAAGGAGCCCTGGTGGTGAAAGACCCCACTCTAAAATATCCCCTGTTGTTGTTGTTGTTATGTGCCACGAAGTCAGTTCTGACTCATAGCGACCCTGTACAGGGTTTCTGAGGCTGTAAATCTTTACGGGAGCATTTCGAACTGCTGACCTTGTGGTTCACAGCCCGATTCATAACCACTACGCTACCAGAGCTCCTTAAAATATCCCCTAGAGCTACAAAAAGAAGTTGTTTTTCCAGTCAGTACATTAAGTCCCCAGTGGACAAAGGAAAATTTTCACAAGAACTTACCCACACTAACACCCACCTATTTCTGCTTCTGTAAGGAGCTCTGGTAGCGTAGTGGTTACGAATCGAGCTGTGGGACGCAAGGT